CTGGCGTGCTCTGGTCCATGGGGTCACAAAGAGTTGGAAGTGACTAAACAACTAAACGGCGACCAAATAGGTTTTTTTTTCCCTGAGAAGACTCCCTGGAAAAGCCCCTGATGTTGGGAAAGTATGAGGGCAAGAGGAGAAGGGGACGACAGAGAATGAGATGGTTGGACAGTGTCATCGAAGCAACCAACATGAATTTGACCCAACTCCAGGAGGCAGTGGAAGACAGGAGGGCCTGGCGTGCTCTGGTCCATGGGGTCACAAAGAGTTGGAAGTGACTAAACAACTAAACGGCGACCAAATAGGTTTTTTTTTCCCTGAGAAGACTCCCTGGAAAAGCCCCTGATGTTGGGAAAGTATGAGGGCAAGAGGAGAAGGGGACGACAGAGAATGAGATGGTTGGACAGTGTCATCGAAGCAACCAACATGAATTTGACCCAACTCCAGGAGGCAGTGGAAGACAGGAGGGCCTGGCGTGCTCTGGTCCATGGGGTCACGAAGAGTCGGACACGACTTAACGACTAAACAACAACAGATAGTTTTTATGGGGTTCAATTTTATGCTTTTTTTCATTTAGTAAATTTTCAGGCAGAAATTCCCACAACAATGTGCAGGAAATATTGACATCCCTTATTGCTTTATTTTGTACAACTATGCCCTAGATGTATTTTCAAATGCATTTATGCTGTTAGATGTATAATTAAAATGTGAGTATGCTTTCATGTAAATTCTCACAGATGGTATTTTTTGTTTTTAAATGGGCATAGTTCAGGATGTTTAAGATTATATAAATATCTGAGCTATAATTGGGGAATTGAATTTTTGGTAATAATAGTTCTTGAAGTTATGAAACTATTGTAAAAAAGTTACATTTTCACTTTGGTAAAAAAATATTTAGGATGAATGTGTTTTCTCTCTTCTTTTTTTTCTTTTCTTCTATTTTTCTTACTTTTTCCTGCTTTTGGGGGGGATAGTGCTTATAAGTCTCCATATGCGCACACATGAAATATTGCTGTTTTCAACTGTTATGACTACTCTTTGCATATTTGTATAGCATTGCACATGTCACACCACTCTATTTTGTGAGAGGGAGTATCTTTGTCTAATAATGCATGGGGAAAATTAAAAATATTTGTGTGGTTCTGAGCTTCCTCCTTTCCAGTATTCAGTGCTCCATTCCACGAAAAAATTGGGAGCTCAGTGTTTGTAAATTTTCCAAATGGGCAATAGTGTGCCTTCTTTCTTCACCAGAGTAAGACAACTTCCATAGACCAAGACACTGCCTATGTCCTTCGAATCTTAGAGGACCACACCTATATAACCTCTAAGCTTTTTTCTTTAAGAACGATTCCATAGTTTCTAGTGACAAAACAATTAAAAACAAAAAGTTTTGGATTCTGGAGAGGCAGAAGTGCACAGGAGGAAAATACCTGGCAAAATTGACCTACCCAACTCTTTGTGAACACAGGGGAGCCTTCTGAACATTTTAAACAAGCAGTTTAATTTCGGTGTGGGGCTACATTTCTCGCCTGGGTTCCCAATTTATTTCAGCTGAACTTGGTTCATTACAGATGTGCTCATGATTTCTAGCATACTGGCTAGAATTCTATTGGTCTTAACAAAAAATGTGCATGATTTGCTGCAGCTAATTGTAGACAATTGATGAGATTTCAAAGCCCATCTTGGTAGTACAGTTATAACTAGGTACACAATCAAGGCACACAAGAACATCTCTTCAGTTAGCAGCAGTTAGCTGCTGTTAACTATGGCAAGGTACACAAGCCTTGTGCAAACACAAATAGAATCCTGGCTTCTATTTAGAATTGTAGTCAGACGTTGGGAACTTTATCTTAAAATTATGACTGCAGTTTCACTTCAATTCCAGCCTGAGAAGTGGTAATTTTTTCAGAAATGATCTTGTATGAAATGCAGAGTGTTGTGTAACATACAACTTAATAGTAATATATTGAGAATATAATAATGAGAATCCTGTTGAGTGTAAGGGAGGAAAGATAGTAGCAGGGAGGATTTGTAATAGAAGGTACATTTCTGAGCTTTGTAGTCTACATTAATGACATTGGGGGGTTTTTTTCACCAGATTTCCTGAAATGCAGTATTTCCAAGAAGAAAATGTAAGGAAGATTCTTACAGATGTTCTGTTCTGTTATGCTCGGGAGAATGAACAGTTGCTTTATAAACAGGTACTGAAACTTATGTACAGGTGGTATCCATTGTCTCACCATATTTTTCCTGCACTCTTGATGATTGAACAATTCTCTTGAAAAGTTACGTACTAAGGTTCAGGCAATCTAAGAACTGCTTCTTAGCTCTATGGTAAAGAATGCAATTCAGGCGCATATGTTTCCCACTGATGACAGGACTTTCATTCAAATTGTTTTCTTCAATTCTGCAAAGTCTTTCAAAGAGTTAGGAACACCTTTTTGAATGTTCCAGTTTATGTTAAAAAAAAAAAGAAACAAACAAACCTTTCCATGCTTTCTGTCATAAATTGCTTTTATATGTACAGTGGTGCCTCGGAAGACGAATGCCTTGCGCGACGAAAAACTCGCAAGATGAAAGTGAAAAAAACTCAGGAAAAAAAGTCTGAACAAAATCACTTACAGTACCAGGTATTGTAGACTGAGCCCCACTCTTCACGGTGCCTTGGTAGCCCCAGAACAACAGGACTCTGTGTGACTAGAGCACCTAACAGCTGAGAGGCGGCAGCCATTTTGTGTTCATCTTACTCCCTGCTTTCAGAGGCTTCCTGGGGCTTGCCCAGCACGGAAAAAGGCAGGGGGAAAGCACCATTTTTGAATTTCCCGCCCTTTCCCCTTGCCTTTTTCCTTGCTGGGCAAGCCCCGGGAAGTCTCTGAGACCCAGTGCCAAACAGCTGAGATGTGGGTGTGCGGGGACTGGAGACGACCACAAAATGGCTGCTACCTCTCAGCTATTTGGCATTCTGGTCACACAGAGTCCGGCTGTTCGGGGCTACCAAGGCACCGTGAGGCTCGGTCTACCTGGTACTGTAAGTGATTTTGTTTGTTTCTGACTTTTCACCCATAGGAACACATTAATTAAATTTCAGTGCATTCCTATGGGAAACAGCACCTCGCAAGATGAAAATTTTGCAAGACATCATGACTCAAAGAACGAATTAATTTGAGGCATCACTGTATATAGGTTAGACCCAAACTAAATTAATTAGACCCTAGTGAGATCAGTGAGACAGGTTAGAAATTACTCAGATGCCATTGGCTGGACTCCAATGATGTGTGTCCACTAATACACCCATAGTGGAAGCTTATTTCTAGATAAATATAACATTTAATCTGTACTGTATTAATGTTTACATGCTGTCAAGTCACTTCTGACTTATGCCAACTCTTTCATGGGTTTGGGGGGTATTTGAAATGGTTTCCTATTTCCTTTTATGGAGGTGCTCTGGAACTTTTCACCTTGCTGATTCTTCTTCCAGGAGGTCCTGTGAGGAATCAAACTCCCAATTTCTGGCTCCAGAGTCAGATACGTAATTCACTGAGCTGTCCAGCCAGCTTTCATCTATGTCCAACAAGAGGATATATATACCATCTAGTGATACAGTGGTGCCCCGCATGACGACGATAATCCATTCTGTCAAAATCAATATACAGCGAAATCGTCATCATGTGAAAAAAAAACCCATTGGAATGCATTGAAAACTGGTTAATGCGTTCCAATGGGGAAATACCTCATCGTCCAGCGAAGATCACCCATAGAGAACCTCCGATCAGCTGTTTAAAATAGCTATTTTCCGAAGCTTCTGTCTGGAAAACAGCCATTTTGCGAAGGGAGAGAAGCCATTTTGCGAAGGGAAGCCATTTTGTGGAGCTGGAAAAATCATTGTTTTGCAAGCAAACGGTTCACGAAGCAGGGACCTAATTGACGTAAAGTGAAAAAACCCATAGGAACCAAAAAATTGTCGTCAAGCGATTTTGTCATCAATGCAGCGTCGTTGTCATGCGGGGCACCACTGTATATAGCTCTTGTTGTTATTATAATCTCAATGTGTTTTCATTGCATTTACACTTATTTTTAATTTTGCAAGTTGGTAGTGAGTTTGTTATTTTGAAGGATTCTGCATCATTTATGCATAGCAGGAAAACCATGCAAGGCTAATTGTGCACAAAGATGATCCTTCAGGAATCTGGGTCCAAATTAGATTGTGCACTACATTTCCCTTCCCCTCCCCAAAATGGGTTGGCAGCCTATAAAGCTCTCTTTACACCTAGGCAAACTTGCACTAAATGACCCCCTAGGGTTTTTTTCTGACCCCATGGTAATGCCAGTGTGTGCTAGAGTTTGAATCTTAATCCTGAACTGACTGAAAAGTCCAGTTTCTCCCCAGGAACCAGTTAACATGACATCATGACTTGACAAAAAATTTTATCCCAATATGCCATCCCAATGCAAGAAAGAACTTAAACAGCGTAAAACAGTAGTTTTGTTGAGACTGTTTTTTTTTCCCTAGTTGCTTTTTGCCTTTGAAAAAGCTGTACATGGCAAGTGGCTAAAACTTCAGGACACTGTTTACAACTGGTCATGTTACAATATATAAAATACTCTTATTCTGTGTGGATTCTGCAAAAAAAGAGAAGAATATGAGATACTAAAATGTCTCTTCTCTCTGGATGAGTATTAAAAAACAAGTGTGATGTATTCCCATCATCTATGAACCTGCCCTTTGTTATTTTGAAACTGAAGTTTTCAAATAATCTTTAGAAGTCTCACATACAATGTGCTTGTTAACGGTTCTGTTCTAGATGTTTCCTGACTATGAGAAACAATGACCAGGCTATTTATGACTACTTTGGTCTTCTCCAGTGACAAAGCTGAACCTGTGAGGATATATAGACTATAAACATGAATATTCTGGGAAAATACAGAATAATTGAAAACCGTCTCCCCCAACTATCTGCCAACAATATTACTGTGTTTCAGCATTGATGTTAGGTTTTGCAGCCTTTTCCCAGTTTATTATTGATTCCAGTTACCAGTTTAGCACTGCCACTATCTCATTGGAATTGGATATAAAGAAAAACTAGAGTTCTGAGTCTTCTGCATATTGATATTTTACTAATCATCTCACTAATCATCTCACTCAGCAGTTTTATGCAGTTCTTTAATAGCAAGGTTGCAAGTGTATTGAACCTTGCAGGACCAACTTTTGGAATAGACCCTCTAGATAGTAAGAGAACTATTGAAATACAGTGCCCTCAATAAGTCAGGTCACTTATCCAGAATGATACTGTATTTTTCCATGTATAAGACACTACTTTTTCCTAAAATGGTTAGACTAAAAATTGAGTGTCATCTTATACACAGAAGTACTGTAAGCTGAGGAGAGAACACGGTCCATACCTTGATTTCAGTATTGATTCCGAACAGTATACAGGAAGAGATTTGGAAAGCCAAAGCAAAGAGTAGGTGCCAAGTGAGGAAAGTGGGTTGATTAATATGACTGGGTATATGCCGTATTTTTCCATGTATAAGATGCTACTTTTTCCTGAAATCTTTAGAGTAAAAATTGAGGGTCATCCTATACATGGAAGTAAGCTGAGGAGAGAACAAAGGCCCATGCCTTGCCTCTGCAAACAGGCTTCCTTCAATCAGGAGGCTTAGCTGTCTCCAGTCAGGAGGCTTAGCTTCCTACAGTCAGGAAACTTAGCTTCCTCTAATCACAAGCCTTATGTAACTGACGCCAGCTAATGCTGAACAAACCAATTGCAACAGTGCTCAGATGCAACAGGAACTTGTAATGCCCGAGTGTTCTGAGCCCAGAGGCTGAATAAAGTTAAAGTGTGATGCATAATATGACAGTACTGGTATGTAAATGTTACCTAATTACTAAATTAAAATGTGTTCTGTTCTATGTTTAAAATGTTGATTTCTTAATTTGGGGTTAGAAAAGTGGAGAGCATCTTATACATGGGAGCGTCTTGTAGACAGGGAAAAAATACAGTTGTCTTGTACAGTACACAGAAAAATATTATTTACCTGTATTCCTGAAAGTTCATTGAGAATTGTCTGCATTTCTGGTGGCCCCATATAACCCATTTAAAAAGAAATAAAACAATTGCAGTTTCAGAAACTCTTCCCACATTATGCCAAATTAAACGTTCAAAAATTTACTAAAAAGATTAACATGTTTTAACCGTCATGCATGAATGAGTAAAAAGGGGAATACATGATTTCCATGGCTGCCATTGCAAGCTTTGTCAGATCAAGAAACATATCCACATGCAATGCCTTGGATGATTTTATGAAAAGATACTGTACTACTTGGATCACTAAATCCTGATGACTCTTAAAGGGAAGATAGCAGGTAAAATATTGTCTTGGTAAATATTCTCCCAGCCCCACTATTTTGACTCAGCCTGCTACATTACTGAAAACTATCTGGGTGGTCTTCAGTATGGAGTGAGTCTTGTGAAAGTAAACAAATCCAATCTGGTTATTTTCAAGGAGCATGATCTACTTATACTGTACTGAAAACAACCAACAATTAAAAACAGAATTGTAGTATTGAGTAATAGAGCACACAGTTTATATTTCCTTCTTTCTCATTGCCTAACTGTCCTTTCCTTACACTAAAAATCTTATAGATTGCTGACAAAAAGTAATACCTTGCTACACATAAGAATTAAGTATTTAGTCAGATCAATTGTTTAAAAACTTTTGAGTTTCCTCACAAGCTGTTAAAGCTATTATTTTATACTAGGTGACACCCCGTTTAACATAGACCATATTGTTAATAGTTATGGGATTTTATTGAATTAATGAGATTGTTATCATGTTGTAGAATGTCTTGCTGAGTTAATTGAAACTGCAGAGATTATATAAATGGTATTAATGAACTTTGACTGCCTGGTGCCTCTGCTTTAATAAAGACTGCTTGGTGGGCTAAATGAACATCAGCAGATAAAAGAACAGGTTCAATTTTGTGAGCCTACAGGCTGTTCACAAAGAAAACCTTTTCACCTCTGATTTTCAATAGTGTCATTTCCACATCACAGTAATTTTAGAATATGGTTGATCTAGGGCTAAAAAGGCAAAGAGAACACTAAATGTTTTCGGGACTGAATATTTGTGTTTAATAACTAAGAAATGCTAATAGCTATAATAGCAAGGATTTATGAAGTGGCACTGAAATGCTTGAACA